ACAGCAAGCCAATCCTGAAATCTCACCAAAAAAACTGCAGGAACTAGTCCAGGCAGTTGCCAGAAGTCAACAATGACTCGAAGGCACACACACATACAAAAAAGAAAAGAATAAGAGAGTTGCAATTCTTACTTACTGTTGCGGGAGGCATATTTGCTTCTTCGAATGAAATCTGGAGAACCACAGTGAAATCACTCTTTAGGACATACTTTTCAGATGCCAGCAGGTTTTCCAAAGCATCCTACAGAAAGGGATAACAGGAGCTTTTTTTCTTAACCACAGAGAACAGAGTCCACTGTACACATTTCTCCCTGATTTAAATAAAATCCATTTATTATGCCTACTAAATCTGAATAAAAGTACATAGTCAAAATATAAAAGAAATACGGGGAAAATCTATGTCAAATAATCATTTATTTAGTGGCCAAGAAACATTTCACATAAATCCATTTTCTTAGAAAAGCCTAAGCCCAGTAAGACAATTGGATTTCACACTAGAAAGGGATTTCAGAAATGAGGACATCCCAATGATGCTCCTGCCACCTCTAAATAATCAGTAGGAGCAGATTTCATCAATTTTATCAGCTTGGCAACCAAGATGTCCTAGCTATATCCAGAATGGTCCATATTCTCAGTTCTCACCTCAGATTTAAGTTTTTAACAAACAGGCATTGCTTTGACAAGGAAAAAGGGATGATGGAGTGATGATTGTATGATGTAGCTCATCACGAAATGCTCATGAACATTGATAAGAAATGCAATACACTGATGAACCTGCTCAGAGTCCCAAGGAATAAGGCTAGAATCACTGCAGCTGCAAGTATTCAAACGGGCGATGGGAATGAATTTCATCTGTTCCAAATTAGAATGAATCCAAAGTTTATTCTTTATTTGCTGCATTATGTAATAATGAATGCTTCCATTTTTAAGATGCTATAGGAATGTTTGTTGCTTTAATGTAGGCTGGGCATGCAAATATATGTACTGCAACAGCACGTAAATTAGAACAAAGCCTGTGTAATGGAGAAATAGCAGCAGAAGAGGCATGTGTATAATAAGGACTTCAAAAAGCCCACAGTTTTAATGTACTGCTATCACCTATGAATGTCCAAACTAGGATTATCATATGTGGGTTGAAAAAATCTGGATGGCCTGAAATGACAGTAAAGAGGTTTTTGTAACTCTTTGCTCCAACTCATGGTCTACCCAATCTTTGCAGTCCAGATACCTTAGTCCAAATGGCATTAATATTCTGGGGAAGCTAAGTAGGATATTGAGTAGCCTTGTGCCTATTTTGCAGTTACTATTACTGGACAGTTTTCAACTTCCTGACATCTAACTGTTCTTTTTCCTCAAAGCTTTCTTCGTGGCAAAGTACATGCTTTGCAAGCCAAGGTTCCCAGGCAATATGTAATGGTATGTGGGAATGACCTCAGGAGGCAAGAGGGAGAGATGCAGACTGGACAACTGGCAGATAAAAGATACCTCAGCCCACAGAAGGAGGGGAGACATGGGAAGTGTTTCAGAAGGGACCGTCCCTAGTTTTCCAGAAAGTAAAAGGAAAGGAGGGGAGAAATGCTTTCAGTCTTGCAAGATTCTGTTAGGAGTTACAGTAAAGATAGAGTTAGTACTTATGCCTGCGCTTCTTGTCTGGACTACCTCGAAGGGCTAACACAATCCAAGATAGCACTAAATTGGGCTGGGAAAGGAACTTCTATGACACCCTGGAGAGCTGATGCCAGCCAGCTCAACAATACTGAGTTCACTGGACCAACGATAAGACACAATTAATGGCAACTTACTAAAGCTTCAGTTCCAATTGTCTTTGAATTTCATCCATTCCATTTTCTCCTACACCCTGCTCTTACAGGCAGCAGATCATAATAAATTTGACAGATTTTTCTTTATTTGTGTAATGAATGGGCTTGTTTTGAAAACAAATAAAGGGGGGGATTCAATTTAAGCTATGAAAACTGTATTGCAGTCAAAACCCAGCAAAATTAAAGTCAGCCAAACTAAAACAAATAGAGTAAGAGACACAGTAGTTATATTAAAGTCACATATGAGAGTCCTATCATGTGATATGTATGGTCTATTGAATTTGTTTTGTGTGAGAATGCTATTGTTCAAACACTATTATTTAATTTATTGTTTTATTATGTTTTGTGTGCTGTGTCTGAGGATTCATTTTATGCTGTTCTACTTAATTATCTTTAGATATTAGCTTAAAAAGTTTTACAATATTGACTATCGGTCACCTTAGGAAAACTTCTGCTTGGAAAAGCTACATATAGTTTTTTTTAAATAAAGACTCCTAAATGCTATACTTGGACTTACTAGCATCTCTCTTGAAATTTCTGATCTGGGCACAATTGACTCAATGCAACATATACCACCAACAATCTTGTGGCATCTTGTTCCAAACACTCTCAAACTGGCCATGATAGGCTCCTTGGTAGAAATGGGTGATACCATGTGAAAGGGGTATGAAATTAAAAAAAAAAACTAAAAAAGAGTTGTCTGTTTGTAATATACAACTGGAGGTACATTCTTTTTTCCCTAAACCCGGTATGTTGCTCACCTGATACGACCATTTCCATACAGACTCATCCAGTCTAGAACAATCGTTGAAACAAATGCATGGATTAGGAGCTATATTCCTAGAACATGTCAATAGGAAAGCAAAGTAAAAATATGCAAGGCTGTAAAATCCTCATTTAAAACATGAAGTTTCTTGAAATCTAGCAAAGGAAGAGTAGGTGTTTTCAGAAGGCAGTTTCTTGGCAAAACCAGCTAATTTATCTTTTCCTTTGGAACGTGCAAAATGTTTGAATTTGAAATATCTCAAGCTCAAAATTGGATGATATGACCTTCCTGGAAGTATTCCAGTGCTCTTTCAATCATTCCAATCAATTATTCAGAGAGCTGTTCAATCTTGAAATACTTCCAGATTTTTGGAACAGAATGGGAATACCTCCAGGAAGGTCAGAACAGCTGTTTTTAATTTGAAATAGGAAGTTTCAAGCTCAGAACATTTCAAATTCAAAATATTTTGCATATCACTACTTTTCCTCTTTAAAGGATTGGTAATGGGTTTTTTTTTCCTAGCATGGTAATTCCTTGATAAAAATTCATCTTGGTAGCATTTTCTCCTATGTATGTATTTATACATAGTATAAATAAGTTTTACTTATTGAGGTTCTGAGGTTCCAAATGCCAAGATACCCAAAAATCAGTAAAAATGTTCCGTGCTATATTCAATACACATAAGGAATGGCATAGTCATGCACAACATATTATGTCAGTTTACAGGTTATGAGACTTATCCCACCCAAACCCTTTTGATGTGTAGCATACACCCAAGGTGCTGTACATCCAAGTCATGTTTCCTTCTGTTCAATCACATATGTAAATGCAATGCACTCTTTGAGGCAGGATGGGAGAGGGAGGAGAGAGAGAGCTCCAACATATATTTTTAAAAGTCCCTGTTTATGCCATCAACTCCCTAATTCTTCAAAAGCAATTTGAAGACAATCTGCAGTTGCTTTCAAACCTGTCAACTTTGCAATGCTGAGAACAAGGAGCAAGAACAAGGAACAGATCTTGCAGCAGCAAAAATCCATCCACAGCACTCCAGATGAAATGAAATGAAAAAGAAGAGAAGGGAAAGGCTAAGCAGCTGGATGTTTTGCACTGAGCTCCTTCTCGGCCAAAAGAAAGAGAATCTTGTCAATTTCTCCCTGGCTTCTTTTGCTGGGCTGCTGAGAGGGAATGCCAGACTGTCAAGCCAGTGTGCCCCTTGCAGGGTGTGCCAGAGTGACCTAAGCTTAGGAGGAGTCCAGAGAGAGTGAAGGAAGAATTTCATTCAATAGGGAAATATCCCACCCCCAACCTCTCCAGAGCTCCAGCTGACAACAGTTTCCTAACAGTTCCTCTTGCCCTTCAGCTGAACCAGAAGGAAATCAATTCAAACATCAACCATGCCAAGACAATACAGGAGAGGCAAAACACCTCATCTGGAAGTCCTCTTAATTTCGATGTAAAGCAGCTTTTTGACCTAACAGGTTCCATCTCCAGCAATCACAACTTGCCATCCAGAGTCTTTTGGGACTGGAGGGCAAGAAATGCTGTTAAATAAATAAATACAGCAAAAGACATGCACTTACCATTCAAATATAGAAGGAAACCCAAAGATGAGTATTGGAAAATTGGGAAATTGAAAGATTAGTGTTTTTTTTTTTAATGCCAAATTTAAAAAATTCCAAATGGCACATTAATGACAGACTGTAAAAGATCCTGGAAATCAGCAGCTTATTTCCAATGGCTTAAATTCCACTATTAAGAAGCAGGAGTTCATTATTCCTACATATTTATTCCTCAAAAATATATAACTACTAATAAGACCCACTTTTTCTTAGAAGAAAATGGGTTGGGACATGGTTTTTTTGGTTTGGTTCCAGTGATATTAGCATCCTTCACATGAAACAGAATCTATCATAAATACATGTTTGTTCCATTTACATTCCATATTTTTGGCAGGAGCATAAAGTAGTATATATAGTTCTCCCCACTTCCATTTTCCTCTATAACAAGAATATTCCTGTGCAGAGAAAGTTTGCTGAAGGGACTTCCATGGCTGTGAGCAGATTTGAACCTGGGTCTACCCAATCCTCGTCTGATATCTGATACCACAAAGCAAAGTGTCCAGAGGGGGGAAATGACATTTATCTATTTTATTTATTAAATATGTTTCTATCCCGCTGTAATCAAACAGTCTTTCAGTAGCTTACGCGGAATATCATTGTGTTATCATGCAAGCTACATAATTTGTCATTCACGCAATATCATGATTCACAATATGTCACTGTGGTTTCTACTGGATGGCTGTGATCACACAGCCTGTGTTCTGCATGTTTAAGAAAGTAGAATAAACTTCCCTAACTTGGGAACTCCTCAACCGTTATGCTGCAAATGGGGAATTCGGGAAAGGCACCACACTAAGGAAGGCACAGCTACCATGTACTAATTAACATGTACACGTGGTACATGTTAAGGTACTATGGAAATAGGCAAAATGGCCCAGAGTGAAAACTTTTAGAAGTACAACCTAAATCACTATTGATTTGCTAAACCATATAGAGATATTTTTGGAACAAGCCTCTGGGGAAAAAAAGGGAAAG